TGAAATCTGAGTACCCGGCCGCCCTTAACATTTCTCCACCCCCCTCACCCTTCCCCTGCTACCTTTCTCAGGCTATTTTTCTGCCTAAAATAGAACAGAGTTTGCTTTTCTTGTTACCCAGCTGACTCCTCAACTATAGAACAAAGATGCTGAGTGTCTACAGGGCGAGATTATGCCTGGTTTCCCCTCCCCCGTAGCCTGTATCTGCATGCCAGTGATCGCTTTCAGGGCCAGGATTGGGCAGAAAAGGCTCTGCACGAGTACAGTCATCCCTCAGTATCCCTGGGAGATTGGTGCCCGGACCCCCTTTGGATACCAACATTTGTGGACGCTCAAGTCTCTGATATATGATGGCATCGTCATTGCATAGGAACCTAGATACATCCTCCTGTGTAGTTTAAATTATCTCTAGGTTACTGATGCCTGATGGTGTAAATACTATACTGTACTTTGTATTATTTTTTATTGTCGTGTTGTTATTTTTTATTGTTTTTTTTCCTGAATTTTTTTTCATCTGCTCTTGGTTGAATACACAGATGTAAACCCCACAGATACGGAGGGCCAACCATAATTGCAAAGAATGGAACATCATTACTTTTCAGCATTCTTTTTTTTTTTTTTAAGTTGGAGTCTCACCTCATCGCCCAGGCTGGAGTGCAGTGGCACACTTAGGACCACCCCAGTGTCGACCTGCTGAGCTCCGGCGATCCTTCCGCCTCCACCTTCCAAGTAGCCAGAACTACACACCCGGCTAATTTTTTGACTTATTGTAGAGATGAAGTCTCGTGAAGTTGCCCAGGCTGGGCTCAGGCAGTCCTCTCACTTTGGTTTCCCAAAGTGCTGGGATTACAGGGTTGAGCCACTGCGCCCGGCCTCAGCATTATTTTTAAAAATTGTTTTCTAGTATTACCTTACTATTGAAAAGTAATATTTACATTAAAAAGTAACATTCACCAGGCATGGTAGCTCATGCCTGTAACCTCGGCACATTGGGAGGCCAAGGCGGCAGGATTGCTTGAGTGTAGGAGTTCAAGACCAGTCTGGGCAACATAGCGAGATCTCATTTCTACCAAAAGTAAAAAATTTAGCTGGGCATGGTGGCACATACCTGCAGTCCCAGCTACTGGGGTGGCTGAGGTGGAAAGATTGCCTAAGCCCAGGTGGTTAATAACGGCTGCAGTGAGCCGTGAATGTGCTACTGCATTCCATCCTGGGCAACAGAGCGAGACCTCAACTCAGAAAAATAAAATAAATAAAAAGCAGCAGTTCTTTGAACAAGTGAGTCTTCCCCAGAGTAGAAATTAGCTGTGTATTACTGAGTACTGAAAGCATGTATCTGTTTTCAGATGACAGAAGTAAAATGTCCAGAAACATAAAACTATTTAATATTTAAGTGCATTTTATTTGGCTTTCTTCTAGTCAAAAAGCAGGTACTGTCACATTAAACTGCTTTATTCTCTGGTAAGTAACCTCAGCTTGTGTAGTAGAGAGTTAGAATTTTTATTATTACTTTTATATTTTCCCACCTCCTCCTTGAGAGGTAGTGTTTTACAGTATATTTTAATTTCTTTGAGTAAGAAAAGTAAGAAAAGTCAGAAGCTTTTTGACCACAAACAACTTCTTGTCTGCTCTCATGCCCAGATGCAACTCCCAAATCCAGAGAATAAGCATCATTGTCATGAATTCAAAGTATTCCTTCTAGTGGAATATACTAGCGGAATATAGTGGAAGGACTCTAGTGGAATATTCTAGTAGAATACTGTGGAAGTACCCTAGTGGAATATAGCAGAAGTACTCTAGTGGGATATACTGATGGAAACAGTAGACGTACTCGAGTGGAATATACTGGAAGTAGTCTAATAGAATATTCTAGTGGAATGCAGTGGAAGTACTCTAGTGGAATATACTAGTGGAATATGGTGGAAATATTTGAGTGGAATACAGTGGAAGTACTCGAGTGGAATATACTGGAAGTAGTCTAATAGAATATCTAGTGGAATGCAGTGGAAGTACTCTAGTGGAATATACTAGCGGAATATGGTGGAAGTACTCGAGTGGAATACACTCCTTTGTGCTGTAAAAATGTGTTACCACTATCTCAGAAAGCAGGGATGACACAATTTCTTTATAACAGGTACAGTGAATAAAGCTTAAGGGTGTGCAGTTCAAAAAGTAATGTCATATGAGCTTAAAACTTGATACTCACGGAGGAACTGTCTCCAGCCAGAATAGCATGCTTTTTCTCAAAGAACAGGCAAGCGTGGAAGAGGCAGGTAAAGAAAGATAGAAACGTGCAGATAGATGCGTACATTCACCAGAAAGTGTGTGCCTCTGTAAACTAAAGGTAAGGTCTCCACTATCTGCTGTGATCCCAGCGACCAATTTCTTCTGTTTCAACAAGTGCCAAACACGAAAGCCTTTTGATTTGAGGCTGTAGTCCTCACTGTCTCCCGCTTTCCTCAGTGGGTGAGGAGGCTCAGCTCACAGAAGTGGATGGGTGCAAATTTCTGTGTTGAGAGACGTTGATAATGAGTTCCAATGAATTTGAGTAACTCATCATGCAGTGTGTGTGTGTGTGTGTGTGTGTGTGTGTGTGTGTATGTATATATAGTAAAGGGTAACCATTTGTAATAAATACATCTTGATGAAAGATAATGTGAGGCTTTTATTTTTTTGGCCTCTAGGAAACACTTTATCTCCTTTTTAGATTTACTTTTCATTTTCTACTGTGGTAAAAATAGTATAATCACATTTCTTTAGGCAAAAGAGAAGGGGTGGGGCACAGGGATGGCCCACCTCTAACCTTAACCTGACGTGGTTGTTGCTGGCGACCAGCTGTATTCGCTGATGGTTTTCCCTTGTGTGTTTTTGTTTGTTTATTCCTTGTAACTCCTGCCCTCCTCCTCACTGCCCCTCCCTCAGTGACCTTGGAATTATTCGGAACTGAGTTCAAATCCTGGCTCTTTCACTTAACAGCTGTGGGGCCTTGGGCGAGTTAAACTTGTTGAGCCTCCTTTCCTTATCTGTAAAATGGAAATATTATCCACTTGAGAGGCTGAGAGTTCAATGAGATGATGTATTTAAAATTATTGATTGTATTTAAAGTGCCTGGTTAACCACTTGACTCATGGTGGAATGGGGCCAATCCATAATTACACACACACACACACAGACAGTAAATCCCCTACATGTGAACCTTCAAGTTGCAAACTGTCAAAGACGCTATTGTGCATTTGCGTGTCCAATTACATAAGTTAGTTCAGTGCAATTTTCAAGGTACTGTAAGGTTTAAAATGTTTTATTGTTTGTTTTTTATATGTTTGTGAGGAAAATATTATAAACCTATTATAATACAGTACTATATAATCAGTTGTGTTAGTTGGGTACCTAGGTTAACTTTGCTGGACTTAAGAACAAGTTGGACTTACGGGTGCACTCTCGAAATGGAACTTGTTCATATATTGGGGACTTACTGTATATTACATATGTATATGTACACACACATATTTTGTGTGTTTATATATGTATATACACAGTTTTTAAAACTTCTTTTTGCATAGATAATACTAATTTTATTTCCAAGTATGCGCAAGGCATTCTAAGATGCCCATGGAAATTCAGACATCATTATTCACTGCCTAGGACTGTGTGAGTGTTGATATAAGACTTAAGTTCAAAGACACAAACGATTACCTGTGGTCATGCAGATGTTAACAGGATCTTGTAATTAATGAATTTGTTGATTGGTTTTCCTTGTTGTGGCTTGTCTTAACCTTTGAAATATGTGTTACTTGAAAAGAAATACTACTTTTAAATAATGCTAGCCTCATCAAAGCTGCCTATAATGTACTTGTTTTGTGATTATAATAAACATTTTATAGGATGAAATTTGTATTTTAGTTCTTTCAGGAGAAAACCAAGAAAGAATTTTGAAGTGAGTTTCCTATTTTTCTTAGTCTAAGTCACTCAGAAGCTTAACCTTACTCTGGAGGCTTGATTCAAAAGCTAGAAGAATAAAAAAATCTTTGTAAAATTTCTTAACTGTTGTCAATATAAAAGAGTGTTTTAAGTCTTAGCAAAAATCTGTATTTTGAGACTTTCTTTGACTTTGATAAAAACTGTATGTTTTAGAAGATGGTAGATACTTGTTTTTGCATGCTATGTTAGGTTTATTTTTTGAGTGGAAATAGTTAAGTCTTTTTGTTTTTGTGTTTAAAGTAGTGCTTACATTTAAGGGGATGGTAAATGGTGCTTTGGGTTTTTTTTATAATTAATGATGTAGATCTTTTTCTGAAGAGGATTTCAGTCTTAGTTTTATTTTATATATAATCAGCTTTTAAACCCTACAGATTTCAACTTGATGTCTAAATTTATATATCTGAACTTGAGTTCATTGGTTTTAATGATAAATTATGTTATGGTCAGTTCATCCATTTAAAGGCCAATTTAGGTGCAAAAAGAACCATTACTTGCTGTAGCTATTCTTTTGCATTCCTGTATTTCAAATTTCAAATAACTGAAGTGATTAAGTGATTGGGGAAAAATCTGAATTAACCTCTAATTAACTTTAATTATTTTGAAGAAGGTTTTTTTTTTGAGTGTGGGAACTGTGACTGTCAAATACATCAATGCCCATAAACTTGTTAATGCACGTTAAAGTCGATCTGCTGACATAAATGTGCGAGCATACCTCTTTTATTACTTCTTTGCAGAAAGCAAAATGCAGAAGTGCCACAGTTGGAGCCTGGCCCACAATGACGTTTTGAGCTCGTTCTTTGAGATGAGCCTGACTGCTTAGTGCATATGATTTTAAATTTACAGGATGCAGAATTTTAGATGGGACATGGGATTTTCAAGTTTGCTTTCCCCTTGGGCCTAGGATCACTTAATGATAGTATTGAAGCGAGGGATGTATAATTGTTTTGAGGGTAACCACCATTCTTTGCATATTAGAAAATGCCTAGTAGGACCAACCCTGTTTCCCCCTTTGGTTTATTTAGAAGACTTGCACTATCTGCCAGATGCTGCTTCCTAACCAGTGCAGTTATGCATCACACCAGAGAATCCATCAGCACAAATCTCCCTACACCTGCCCTGAGTGTGGGGCCGTCTGCAGGTCGGTGCACTTCCAGACCCACGTCACCAAGAACTGCCTGCACTACACGCGGAGAGTTGGTTTTCGGTCAGTATGTCGTTCGCCTCTGTGCGAGTCAAGCGCGTTCACGTGCAGCCACACGGCACACGTGGTTTTCCGGGTCGCACGGCGATACCTCAGTGAACGAGCCTCTGAGAACCTGGCTCTGTCTGTTGGGAGGAGGCTTGATCTGTTTGCATCCTTTTAACGTCACATTGGCCCTGCTGGTTCACACAAGGCGGAGGGTTAAAGGGTGGGTGGGGGCTGGGGGTTGGGGACATCGTTCTAGGCGGAAACGTGCATGCGTGGGGGGGTGGCATTGATGGACCGGCAGCTTTTTCTTTCCGTACCCTTCTCAGCACACTTTTGTTGTCATAGTCTTACATTTTAACCCCTGCAAGAAGACCATCCATGTCTGCAGCTCTTACTGTTTCCCCTCCTCTAATGAAAACAGAAAGGGTGCAGTGATCTATTACTTTGTTTTGTCCACATCGAAGAATTGGGTGTGTGTGCTTTTCTAACGTTGCTCCCTTGTGGAAGAGTGCCCTTTACTCTAAATAACCTCTTCTTCCTCCCCCCCCCACTCCCCCTTCACTGACCCCTAAGAGTCCCAGATGTGCGTTTTACACATCTGGCAAATCTAATATTAGTTTCGCTGGTGTGGAGTGATGATATCGTTGAACTTTATTTTCCATCTTAGGACCTTTTGAAATGCATTTCTCTGCCTCTTATGTTTTCACCTAATGGAGGTGAAATCCCTCAAGGAAACATCATCGATACATAGTGTCTTTGTTAATAGAAGTGTTACTGCATTATATGTTTATCCTCACAGTAAGTGTGTGGCTACCTGATAACTTTAATGTTAGACTACCCATATGCAGTGTTTTTTTTTTTTTAGTTGTAGTACAGTTAACTATGTTTTATCTAAATGAAATCCAGTTGGTATGATTTGATGGTTCTATTCAAAGTTAGGTTGTGATATCGTTGGTTCCTGGGTGGCTCTGCCCATTTTTCTAACACTGAGCTATGAGGCTTACTTTGCATTTTAATGTCGTGCCTCCAAACCCATAACACACAAATGTTTATGGATTGGGATCTAGCCTGGCAGAAACCTGTAGCTTGGGAATCGAGAAAGCAGAATTTTTTGTAACAGTTCTGCCAATAACTAGTTATGTGGTAATTTCATGTATTCTCTCTGTGCTGTGGTGCCTCTGTCTATAAAATTGGTGCATTGCTGGCTTCCAGCTCCAAGCACGGGATGCTGTAGGGTAAGACAGGGAAATCAGAGGTACCCTAGGTCCACAGAGTCTGTGCAGAGTCTGTGGTTCTTATCATCGTGTTTTGAAACTATTATTAATGGATTCTGTGTTGATTACTAGAAAGCAACTCTGCCGCATTTTCTAAGTGCTGCTCCTATCTCGGATGCCAGACTTTTTCACTTTTAAGTTTACTTTTCTAATATAATGAAAGTAAGCTTAAGTTGGGATGGATAAAGGAAGTAAGGCTTCTGCAATCATGGATATGGCTGGTTTCTTTCCTAAACTGAAACAGAAGCTCTGCATGCGGACTGAAAGTATTCAGCTCACCTGGGAAAAAACCATCCTTGTTTTTCCGTTTTATGGCCCCATTCAGAGTTGCTTAAATTTGGTGCTTTGGAAAAAATGTGTTAAGTGTTTTCCCCTTTGGATTGGAGGCTATACGAATCGAAAAACAAAACGAAACAAAAAGCTGTTTGTTGCAAAGCTTATTTAGTTGGTGTTTTCTGCTTCTTTAGAAGAGAGAAACATTATTTTAGCCTTCATTATTTTCACATAACGGTCCAGTCCCATGTTTGACTGGGCCCGGCAGCCCCTGGGCCTTGACTTTCTCTCTCTGGGCTCTGTGGTTAATCATTTTCAGTTCCTCTTGTCTTTAGCTGGAGGAGTCTCTCCACACGGCACCCCCACTCACTCCCCTTGTTACCCTTCTCACCTGGGTGTGGTGTGCCTTGTTCTCTCTCCTTGCTCTGTTCCATCTCCCAGATGTCGAGGGGTCATCCCTAGCGCTTGGTTAACTTGGGAAAAGTCCAATGTTTTTCTGAATTTTCCTGCCTTCTGATACATTGGATCTGGATCTAGAAAGGGAAATTATTATAGGATTGTATACATTAAAAAAAAATTGTTCCAGAAATAGAGAAAGAAACTTAATTGGTATCCAGAACACAAAGGACTTCAGGTGTATGACTGATTCTTGATAGACTAGATTTTTGGTATCACTTGGATACTGCGTGAGCCCTTCAAACGCTGCCTTCTCTTGGCCTGTCGTAGTTAAGTTCCCTGTTGGCCTCTGTTACCCGTGAACCTTTTCTTTCACCTGTAGGCAGATGTTTCACAACTTTTTTTTTTGTTTTTAAAAACATAAGAAAAACTACTCTTTCTTTTCTCACATTGAGGAGAGTTTTCCCCTGACCTCTCGGGTGCTCTGTGGACTGAGTCATAACTACTTCCTCCCGCCTCAAAAAATTCCATGTTTAGTTTAGATACTTTAACTTCCTTTTTACTTCAGTAGCTTGAACCTTCCTCTCCAAGTGATTTTGGGGAACCTGTGCCTTGTCTCTTTATTATTTTTATCCTTCCTTGGTCTTTTGCCCTTTGAACACCACTTTTCCATTGTCAATGGGAAAATCTCCTGTTTATGGTTCAGGGCATGGCAAATCCTCTGGTTACATGAGTAGCCTACCTACTTTTTACATAATCTTCCCCTTTCGTTGAAGTCATGGGCTTCTAGGGTTGGGGACAACTAAAAAACGATCGATTCCAGCTCTGCTCATTTTACTGATGAGTAGGCGGCTCAGGGAGGAACATTCACCTGTTGAAGTCAACACAGAAAGTTAACCTAAAATATTTCAGCGGGTGGCTACTGTTGCCTGAAATAACAGTCCCCGTAGAGAGGCTTTCCTTTTTCCCTCTTGTTATTATTTAGCGTTTTCAATGTGTATGTTGTTGCTGAACTTACGCCTTAAGACATTGAAAATGCTAATGCAGTAATGATTTTTTTTTTTAAAAGGCTTGCAGAGCCTAACATGGCATGCTTATTTCAGAACACGCCATTCACCTCTGTGATCCGGATGGGAGATTCTTAAGGATAAAAATATCTCAGATTATCATAGAAGTAATTAGGCACTGCCTTCTGGAAGACAGGCCCTGTCTGCGGGTCTTCCTTGCTTCTTCCCCCCCCCCGTCCTTTCTTCCTTCTTTCCAGCAGCATGTATGTTCAGTTGTGTTAGAGGTGTGCCTCTGAAGACTTTCGTGCGTCTACAGAGAGGCCGCTCTTAAATAGTCTTCAGGTGTAAACAAAGACTTTGTCATCAAATGGAGGTGTTACAGTGTTGCTTAAGAGTCTGTGCGGCCGGGCTTGGTGGCTCAGCCTGTCACCCCAGCACTTTGGGAGGCCGCGAATTCGAGACCAGCCCAGACAACTTGGCGAGACCTCATCTTTATAATGAATAGATAAATAAGTAAATTGGCCGAGTATGGTAGGGCGCAGCTGTAGTTCCGGCTCCTTGGAAGGCTGAGGCGGAAGGATCGCCGGAGTCCAGCAGGTCAACGTTGGGGTGGCCGTGAGTGAGCCATGGCACTCTAACCTGGGCCACAGAGTGAGACTCCTACTGGAAAAAAAAAAAGAGTCTTTGTGTGAAGATGATGAGATGGGGAGAAATGTGTCCCAGTTTTTTATTTTGTTTCTGTAGGATTTAGATTTGAGCGAAAATAAGCTCAAATTATTAGAAAATAAAATAAGCTCAAATTATTAGAAAATAAAAAAGTAAGGAGGTTAGCTAGAGAGGTAATTTTTTTAGAGATCCTGATATTTCAGAAGTTTATAATTAATATAATTTCTTAAACAAATACAAATCTGCTTGTATTTTTGCCTAGGTGGTCAGCCTTCTCTAACCTACGGACCACCATAGCCTCCATATACATTGCCCTCATTAGCGTGTGCCAGGAAACAGTGGTCCCTGGCTTTGGTGCCAGGACTCATTTGTTTCTCTCTGCCCCTCTATGGATGTAGGCTTTAGGCTGGAGAGTTCCTCCGTTGGAAATGCCGTTTGGGTACTGGGGACAGGTAGGAACCTCAAGGCCCGGGAGCCAGAACCCAGTGTGGAAGTCTCCCAGGTCAGGAGTTCATGGGGTCGTGTGTGTTCCCTGGTCTTGATGTGGGCCCTGTGCCCCATCAGTCTCCTCACAGTCTGGAGTCTGGACATCTGTTCTAGAGATACGAAAGGCGCTGGAAGGAAACAGGCCGCTTGCGTTTTGTCTTTCTTCTTCATCATCTTTCCTCTTAAACACAAAAAAGTAAGTTGATGTGTTACAAGCAGAAAAGACAAAATACACTTCCAAAAGGGTCACTAGAAACCTCAAAGGGCTATGGAAATATGTTCATTTCACCCAGTTTTTGCACAGCTACACATGTGTAATGGTCTTGTGCTAATGACTGTGTGTTTATTTTTCTAACAGATGTGTACATTGCAATGTTGTGTACTCTGATGTGGCTGCTCTGAAGTCTCACATTCAAGGTTCTCACTGTGAAGTCTTCTACAAGTGTCCTATTTGTCCAATGGCGTTTAAGTCTGCCCCCAGCACACATTCCCACGCCTACACACAGCATCCTGGCATCAAGATAGGAGAACCAAAGTAAGTCATACTGACTTTTGATTTTCACTCCACTACTTTATTAGTAACTCAGAGGAGGGAGTGGTTCTGCGGAATAATATTTAATAAGATACGAAAAGTGATGCAACTAAGCCAATTTTTCTGAAGTACAGCTCGTAGCTCACCCAAACCTTTCTGTTGTTCCCAGGTAAAACTTTTATCCAAAAATGTCATCTGTTATTTATGCTCTTGTCATCAACTTTTACTTAGCAAGTGATTATTTTTTTGTTTTTAAGTCAGAGTCTCACTCTGCAGTGGCACACTCATGGCCACCGCAGCCACGACCTGCTGGGCTCAGGTGATTCTTCTGCCTCAGCCTTCCAAATAGCTGGAACCACAGGCGTGTGCCACCACGTCTGACTCATTTTTTGATTTATTGTAGAGATGAGGTCTCACCATGTTGCTCAAGCTGGTCTTGAACCCCTGAGCTCAGGTAGTCCTCTCGCCTCTGCCTCCCAGATTACAGGGATTACAGGCTTGCGCCACTGTGCCCAACCAGCAAGTGATTGTTTATTTATTTTGTTTTTAAGATGATTTTAACAAATAAGTTCTAGGAAAACTGTAACAACAACAACAAAAAAACCTGTCTTTAAATTTTTTTATAGGATACACTTTGTAAGTAATATTTCTAATATGAAGTCAACTTAAGACACGGATTCCTGCATTTGACTTTATAGCCAGTACATTTTATTTGCTTTAATCTTGCTCTTGATTTGATCAACTTTTGCTCTGTGGAGTCTTTTATTTATTTATTTATTTTTTTGAGTCGGAGTCTCACTCTGTCGCCCAGACTGGAGTGCAGTGGCCGCTCCCGGCCACCGCAGCCTCGATCTGCTGGGCTCCGGCGATCCTTCCGCCTCAGCCTTCCGAGTAGCCAGAATTACAGGTGCGCGCTACCACGCACGGCTGATTTTTTGATTTATTGTAGAGATGAGGTCTTGCTGCCCAGGTGGGTCTCGAACCCGCGGGCTCAGGCAATCCACTCACCTCAGCCTCCCAAAGGCGTGGGATTACAGGCTGAGCCACCGAGCCCGGCTTCTGTGGAGTCTTTTATGACGTGGCTCTTCAGCAGTGAGGGGCTTCCTAGCCAAGAGGAAGGAGTGTGGGTCCTGGAGCTGTTGGAATCCCACCCCCCGCTGCCTGTGTGAGTTGGACTGTTATAACGCCTGTCTCTGCCACCATTTTTTTTTGCCCCTGTAAAATGAGGGTATGCTTATGAGAGGATAAAATGAGACACAGTTCCGGTGTCGGGAGCACAGGAGACTCTGTAAGCATCCTTCCCTCCTGCGTTCCTTCACTCCTTCACTGCGTACACAGCACTGGACTAAATGCTCCTGGTCATGTTCATTTCATACCTGGATTAGTTAGGATAGTTATGTGAGGGTAGGTTTGCTGTCCAAATCTGTTGGTGTGTTTTTGCCTGTAATCAAGGAACTCTTGGGGGAAGACATACCATATTTTAAAATATGTATTATGTCTGGTTTTATTGTAATATTTCGTTTTGGGGGAATACAGTTGAATACCATAGCATTAACTGTTTTCTGAAAAGCTGTGTTGAAGTTGAACTTTATTTTATTTATTTATTTATTTTGAGTTGGAGGCTCACTCTGTCACCCAGACTGGAGTGCAATGGCCGCTCCTGGCTACCGCAGCCTCGACCTGCTGGGCTCCGGCTATCCTTCCGCCTCAGCCTTCCAAGTAGCTGGAACTATAGGCGTGCGCTACCACGCCCGGCTAATTTTTGATTTTTTTGTTGTAGAGATGAGGTCTCGTCAAATTGCCCAGGCTGGTCTCGAACCTGCGGGCTCAGGCAATCCACTCACCTCGGCCTCCCAAAGTGCTGGGATTACAGGCTGAGCCACCGAGCCCGGCCGAATTTTATTTTAATAGGACCTTCACTCTGATCTTTGTAAATTGAGCCTCAAAATGAAACACATCACAGATGAGGGGACCCGTATACATCCTGATGTCTTGACCCCACCCTGAAGGTGGAGATGAGTGACTTTTAGTGTCTTAAGTTTTACATGACAGTAAGATGTCTGGGCACTAATGCAGCCTTTACCCCCAGTGAATATAAATTCTATTTGGTTCTTTATCCAAATAAATCAAGCTTAATTGTCTGAAAGGTATATGAAATCTAGAATAGTAGTTGTTACTTGACAACCTTAAGGCAGCAAATGACTAAAATAAGCTAATACGGTATTCCTCCATTTTGAATATCGTATAGGAAAAAATTGTTCCAGTATTTTCTTTAAAATTTTTTTTACTATTTTGGTTGTTTTGCCAAGTGCAAGCCAAGAAATAGGTACCGTATTACAAACTGTAAAACTAAAACACATTGACAGAAGAAATGGCAAGCAAAACCCCCAAACTGACCAATTGCAATTTAGCAGCCTGGCTCGGTGTGAGTGGCTGCTGGCGGCCCCAGACCCTTGCCGCAGCCTGGCCACGGGTGCTGTGTCAGCTCCGTTGGGTTCCACCGTCCTGTCCTGCCGTGGGCCTCGGATAACTTTCCCTCACCCCCTTTCTGATTGAAGCTGCTGTGAAAGCTTTCATCCTGCAGCCTTTCGGCCTGCGTGTGACCTAGAAGTTTCCTTTCGGCATCAACTTCATCTGTATCCTGTTTATGTTAGTCCAGCACATGTAATGAGTCCCCATTCCACAGAGCCTTGGGCTCTGAACTCTCTCAGCTGTACTTGATGAACAGGTCATCCTGAAATTAGGATTCAAAATTATGCAAATGATTTGCTTTAATTTTTAATGTTAAAATATCCCCAGCCCCTTAGAAAACACATGGATGTCTGAAAATACACTCATGAAGTCCTATTATCCCTACACCTCAGTTCAAAAAGCATGACGTAAGTTTTTATTTAAAAAACGCTTACACAGTGCCAGGTACTGTTGTAAGCACTTTGCTTCTTGTTTTCCAGCATGTGGGGAGGCAGATTTCCCTGCTGTTTAAAAGGAAACTTGGAACACCCTTTAATCTTTTCTGTATAGTGTGAGGTTATTTTGAAAGTCCACTCCTGTATTTTATGGGGAAACAGTTTTGTGTCTTTTTTTTCTTTTTCCTTGACATCTGATTAACAGCAGATTCTTTGCTGTATCTTCCTTTTCTTTGCAAGTTTCAAGTGTATGTAAGTGGAGAAATGAGAACTCCAAACTTAAGAATTATATAAGACACACACAGTTTTCGAACAAGTTCCTAAGAAATTAAACCTGCAGAACTAGAATCACAGTAGAAGAAAAAAAAAAAGCACAGTAGAAGACTGCAGAGTCAGAGAAAGTTGAATTTGAACCGTGGCCCTGGGATTTATTTAACACCAAGCACATGATCTAACCTCTCTTAAGTCTTAGTGCCCCATCTGTGAGATGGTGGAAGCGTAAACCCATCTCACTGGACCCGAGGGGATTAGGTATGCAGAGGGGAGTCCCTTGCACCTGGTTGGATTCAGTTGGTGGCAATGCAGGCAGGGTAGGCAGCAGTGTCAGAGCTTAGAGTCCTTCCTTCGTTTGTTGTTACCCCTGTTCAGCTGCAGCACTGTTCTGGAGTTTGGGCTGCTGTAAGTTTGACCCGACTCTGTTTTTTTCCTTGATTTCATCTTCCTCTTCTTTTCTCTTTCTCCTTCCGTGCGCCTTCTCTGACCTCTTCTCTCTCCTTCTCCTCCCTCCGTGTCCCCCAACCCCTGCGATACGGTAGTTACCGGGCCACTCACATAGTCCTGCATTTAGGATTATAGCCAGGCCTTTGGGTTTGGCTTTCCAAACCCTTTTCAGCTCAACGGCACCCTTCCCCCACCGCTCCTCCATCCCTGGGAACCCAGCCGTCCTGGGGTTCTCACTGTTCCCCGCGCGCTGCACCCAGGAGACCTCTGCTTTGTGCACAGGGGTCTGTCCCTGTCTTGAATGCCTTCCTCCTCTCTGCCTGGCATCCTGTCTCCCTGGGGTTTTTCCATTGCCGCTGGAGAATTTGTTCATACTCATGTTCAGTCCCTAGAAACTATGCCTGTGAGGTTTGTGGTATTTGGGCTTTAAAAGGAATCAGCATAATTTCTAATGGTTTTTATTTTACAAGAGTTAGAAGAATGTACAGATAAGTTTTGCATTCTTTTCACTCAGATTCCTCACTCGCTAGCATTTACAGTAACCAGTGCATTCCCCTACCCCCAGATCCCCAGATTCCTCACTTGCTAGCATTTACAGTAATTGCACCCCCCACACACCGTTTGTATTTAGGAGTAAAGAGGTATTACGGTGTAAACACTTCGATGTGTTATGCCTCCCACCAAAAAGATGCTTGTCTTTCCATCTGGAACAGTTGCTCACTCCCCCCCATGTCTTTGGCTCTTCAGAAGAGGATACAGTCCTCTCATTCTGAGGTTGACCCTCACCTGGTCTGTCCCTGGACCCTCACGTGCTCTGGGCAGGGATGCCCCAGCAGTGATGCTGTATCTTTTCAGGGAGTCACATTGGGAGGCACAGTCAGTACACTTAGTGGTGACACGACCCTTCATCATCGAGTCAAATTGGTATGTGCCAGGTTTCTCTGCTGTGCAGTCACCATTTGCCCCTTGATACTCACTAGTGTTTTGTGGAGAGGTGTTCTCTTGTTATACCAACAACCTGTTCCCCAGATTCCTCAAAAAGATGTCTAAGTAAATAGATAATCTCCTGTTTTATACTTTCTCTGTCATCAAGTGTGAGGCAACACATCAAAACAAACAACATCCCTCCCCAAAGGAATGCTGCAGGAATAAAAGGAGCCATGCCATTTTTCATGAAGCAGTTATTTCTGGAAACGTGAGAATTGAATCCTGAGGAAATTCTTGGCCCAGCTAGTAAATCTCAGTTCTTTTCTTGAGGCTATTCTTTTTAAAAAAATTGTTGTATGTTAATTACAGAAAAACAAAAGGAAACATAGACAAACAAAACAATTAAAAGAATATGTATACTATCATCCAGCAGAGATGACAATTATATGCCTTCTGTTTATCTTCTGTACCCTGTAAAAATGTGGCCATATCATACATCTGTCTTGTTATCTGTAGTTTTAATTTTTATGAAAATCTTTCCTTGTCATTGGTATATGCCTCATCATTTAAACAAATCTTTTTGTAGCTATTCTATTTAGCCGTTTATATTATTAGATGTTTGAGCTGTTCACAACACTGAGTTGTTTCCAACAGTGAGGAAATGAGTGTCTCTGTCACACCTGTTAAGGCTAATAATGATGACACATCCTTAGCTACCAATTTGGGCTGCATTGTAAAGTCCTACATAACCTTATCTGATCTTCAGAAACACCCTCCCCATCAAGGGTACTCGTGCCCGGCCTAAGTAATGCATCAAGACCTTGGGAAAACATGCCCCTCCTATTAAATTCATAAATCTTGATGTAGAAAATGACAAAGCTAAAGCTGACATTTTGGGGCAGAATTATGCTGGGAGGTTTGAAGCTGAGTGAGAAATGCTTCTCTGAGAGGGAAGGCTGGTGACGGGAGGAGGCAAGCCTTGCACTGTTGCTGTAGAAATCGGGGAGATCTTTGCCTTCCTCTTTGCATCTCTTGTCACGTTCAGTCTGTTTTCTCTGACCTTTCCCTAAGCCGCTCCCTTGAATGTTTCGTGCCTGTTCTTAGTTTTCCAGAGGAGATGCAGGTTCCCGAGGGCCTCCCCTGAGGGCCAGGATGACCTGAAACAGTTATTGAAAACAGGTGACCTGTGGTGGTGAGAGCTGTTCACAAGAGACTGATCTGATCCATTGGAGGCAGAGGTTGGGAACAGGGAGACTCAGTCCTTTAAACCCTGCAGACCTCTTCGCCCACACTCCAGTGAAGAGTGTAGATGGGAAGGAGGGGTTATGTTCAGAATTCAGGCCTACTGAGTTAATTTGAGGAGGCTGCTTGGTAGTAACATATTAGGTATAGAAATAGTTTGTAGTCGCCGGGCGTGGTTTGCTCAAGCCTATAATCCCAGCACTTTGGGAGGCCGAGGCGAGAGGATTGCTTGAGTCCAGGGGTTCAAGACCAGCCCGGGCAACTTGGTGAGACCTTGTCTCTATAGTATATCTAAAATATTAGCCAGGCGTGGTAGCACACTCCTGAAGTTCCAGCTACTTGGACGGCTGAGGCGGAAGGATTGCCTGAGCCCAGCAGGTCAAGGCTGGGGTGGCTGTGAGCGTGCCACTGCACTCAAGCCTGGGCGATGAAGTGAGACTCTGACTCAAAAAAAAAAATAAAAAGAGCAGTAGTTTATAGTGGGTATTTTAAGCCATTTAGAGCACAAGAAGCATTCAAGTTTTGAAACAACAGTGGTATGGATTTTCTTTCTTGTTTCTTCATTTCAGTATATAATTGTTTACTGACATAAGGCTCCTATGTTAAGAACAGGTATAGAAATGTTGGTTGGCATTCAAATGTAAAATTACTACTAGCTCTAAAAGAAAACATTGGGGTTGAATAGGCCTACTTAGTTCATTAGCCAAATTTAGATTGTTTTTCCAGTTTTAAGGTACTACTATTAAGCTATTTTGCCTTGTCTGATCTTAAGAAATAAAGGAAGGATGCTTTTGCCCTGTTAAAGTAACTAACGTGAAGACTTTGTACAAACGTGTGCCAGTTGTAGATTTGTGAGTATAATAAAATGATGATTAATTTAAACTTCTAAATAAATGTAGCTGAATGTGTCTTTACTCAAAATGTTACGCTTACTCTGCAATTCAGTGATGCCCGCTGTATTCAGAAGTCGGTTTGAAAGCTAAACTTTGTTCTTCTTACTGTGTTTGTGTGTTCTCAATGTGCTTCTGCGGAACTCTTGAGTTCTTCAGCTGTTAAGTACTCGAGAGATGAGGCTGACTGACTTGATTTGCTGCACTTCTTCTGTTTTAGAATAATATATAAGTGTTCCATGTGCGACACTGTGTTCACCCTGCAAACCTTGCTGTATCGCCACTTTGACCAACACATTGAAAACCAGAAGGTGTCTGTTTTCAAGTGTCCAGACTGTTCTCTCTTATATGCACAGAAGCAACTTATGATGGACCATATCAAGGTGTGTGTGCATCTATCCTCTCCTTTAAATGAATTGCAGATACATCGGCTGGTCGTAAGTCAAGGCTGAGCTGCAGAGGACTATAAAGCGTGCCTCGCCAACGAGGGTGGTTGTCAGTGAGCAGCTTACTTGCTATCGTTGTGTGTCCCTTGACTGTGGGTGCTTTTTATTCAGGAATCTTCATCTGCCTGCTGTGAAAGATCAGTGAAAAGGAACCAAGACATGCCCTATTTTGAAAGAGTAATGAGATATTAGGGTTCTGTTTTTTATATGTGAAAATGATGATTGTGAAGTTTACCTTTCAGAGAACGCTGTGTTGTATAAGATTTAGAAATAGACTGGGGCTCTGATGAATTCTGTTAATTTGTACACGTATTGGTATATTTTGGAAAAAGTGAAGGTTCCCCCCTTGAAATCATTTAAGCTTTTGAATTTGCATTACAATTGATGCCCCCAGATCGTTTAGTTTCTTTTCCCCCATACAGATTGCGTGTAACTGGACCATTAAATATCTAGGATGTAGCATAGTACCTGGTCTCTGGTGGGTATTCAGTTAATGAAATGAGTAAACGCCCAGTTTGGATGGTTTACTTTCCAACCCTCAAAAGAGGCACAGAAATCTATTTATAGCCCTTTAAGCTTCCTAAGGCCGGTGCTTAGTTCTAGCTTCTTAGCTGTGCACTGTGATAGGTTAAGCAATTTTATTCTTTGTGTGATTAGGAGATAATAACCGTTGGCTTTCCGAGATTAAAATGACTTACTTTTTAAACAGAGAAACAAGAGACCCAATATTACCAGGAACTCAGTCTCTTAGTTTTGCTCTTTTAAAAATAGATTATACAAAAAGACAGTTCTGTTTAAAGAGCAAATAAAGTCTGGATTATTCTAATCTCATGTCAGTTAGATGATTAGTCCTTGAAATTTCTTGCATTGAATATATTTGCATTTATATAGAGTAATTACCTATTACAAATGAACTTCACATCTTGGAGATTCTACCCTTTCAGGGCGAGGTGAAGATAGTGATGGTTGTGACATTTCTAGGGTGAATGAGATGCATGGGAGACGTATTGCAGCATTTTTACATGAAGTACAATAGAATCCTTTTAAGATATTTTAAATACTTTCGGTTAAGATTACATAGTTATTTTGGCAATAAATATTTAGTGAATCACTAGGAAAAAACTAAAAACTGGTAATAAAAACATAGGGATGCATGGAATTAGATAAAAATATTTTAACACATTCTATATGGACCCATGACAATAACAACAAAAACAAAACATAAAGGAAGAGAAAGAACAGTTGCTTCTTAAGAGGCTTTTAAGGTATTTTGCGTTCTGGAACTCATCTTTATGTCTGAAAATGGAGCCATCAGTTTTGTGGTTAGGGTCTGCATCATGTTAATAGTGAATTTGGAGGAAGATAACATTCCAAGAACTAGAAACTGAAGAGGGCTGGTAAAATCCCGTGGTCACAAGGAAGAACGAATTCTTTATTTCATCCGAACTTTTACAAGAACCACGTGAGATGAAACAGTGGGAATATTCACTTGCGTTCTCATTTGAAGTATGTTTTCTACATTTAAAAATGTTGTCCTACATGTTTGTGTTTGGGGATGGGGAAGAATGAGGGTAAAGTTTTAAAAATACCCTGTTTTGTTTTTATTTTTAAGATAATCTGTTTAGCTCCTGTCACTTATTTACATTGCCTAGTACCTATGCTGTGCAGCTTTTGCATGGGGAAGGAGTTAAGAGGACATGAAGGCCGGGCTCGGTGGCTCAGCCTGTCATGCATCCCAGCCCTTTGGGAGGCCGAGGCTAGTGGATTGCCTGAGCCCATGGGTTTGAGACCTGCCCGGGCAACTTGGTGAGACCTCTTCCTTACAATTAAAAAAAAATCAGCTGAGTGTGGTAGCGTGCCCCTGTAGTTCCAGCTACTTGGAAGGCTGAGGCGGAAGGATCGCCGGAGCCCAGCAGGTCGAGGCTGGTTTCACGTCCTCTTTTTTTTTGAGTTGGAGTCCCACTCCGTTGCCCAGGCTGGAGGGCAGTGGCATGCTCACAGCCACCATAGCCTTCACCTGCTGGGCTCAGGCAATCCTTTTGCCTCAGCCTTCCAAGTAGCTGGAACGACAGGCGCGCGCCACCATGCCTGGCTAATTTTTTAAAATTTATTTACTTATTGTAGAGATGAGGTCTCGCCAAGTTGCCCGGTCTGGTCTTGAACCCCTGAGCTCAGGCAGTCCTCTCGCCTCAACCTCCCAAAGTGCGGGATGACAGGCGTGAGCCACCATGTCCAGCTAATAGTGTTGTTTTTACTTAACCATATAAGATGAGTATATTTGAAATTCTCCTTTCAGCACCTATGCCAGTCGCCCTCTTTTGTCATGGCAGAACTTTGTGCTGCATCTCTGTAATTTCCTTAGTACTTGAGAGTTATCTTGCAAAAGAGTACTTTGCTACCGCCCCTTGCTAACTTGTCAGTTTGCAAAAATACTAGAAACTTGGGGCAACCCTCTCCGGTTCCCTGCCACTGTAGGAGCTTTTCTGTCCTCTAAATAAATCCTGCATCCTAAAATAAAAATAAAAATACTAGAAACTTTACCTGGAAACTTAGGAAAAGTTCGTTAGAGGGTTTTAGGTTTTGCTTTCTTTGGATTTTAAATGGTTCAAAATGTCAAAACTTACTTAGCTTCTCTTTTGAAAAAGGCCGTTGAAACATGGAAGCCTTCTCCCCTGCGTGGTGGAAAAGAAGCAGAGGTCTAGGTTTTGACTATCTAGAAATTGTATCTTGCTTCACATTTTCTCTTTGCAAAGGCGCATGGTCAGGCATTCACCGCAACCCTTTTTGATGGACTGGTTTCACGGTTTTCTATTTGGGTAGATCTTGTAACCTCTGCTAATGAGAAAATCATAGAACCCCCACTTATTTCCCTGAAAGAAGACGGTATTGAAGCAGGTTGGCTAGTTCTTGGTCCTGTTCAGAGAATAGTACCTTGAGAAAGCACGATGGAGTGTGTACTGAGGGATCTCCACAGTGAATCTGTCGAGATTGAATGTGGAGCTGAGATCCTGACAGTGAATGTCTGACCCTGGGGGACCTGCATGTGTGAAAGCCCCCCAGGAAAGGTTTTTCATGTCATCTTTCTATAGGTTCAGAAATTGGAAGGCTAATGACAAGCCTGAATATCAATAAGGAGGCCCTGTTCCAAGATCAGTTGTATCTTGAGGCACAGATTTTATATTTTGCCTTCTCCTCCTTTTGGTTCCACACTTTTGTGGAATACAAGACAAAAACCAAAGTGAGTGGGTCTTTAGAATCAGGCTGCACCAGTTGACCTTCTCAAATTTGAAATCCACTGAGTTTAAGTTGAAGATGTCTGTTGTGGCTATTATGTTAATGACTATAGACAGCTAAACAATTTCAAAGGACTTGAGGATCATTAGTTCTCAAGCCTAGGTGCTATTGGCAAGAAAGGATGGATTTGGATAGGGTGTAGGGAGATGAGAATTACCCAGAAAAACCCAGCAAAACCCTAAGCTGTTACAAGTTTTCCAAGAATGTGAAAGGCATGCAAAAAGGAGAAAGGTTTTCTGTTAACATATTGGTCTTAGTTGTTTGTTCAGATTGGTTCGTTCTAGTCAAATACCTGATGGTATGTTAGCCTGTTTAAACATTTCTGGGCTGACTAGAAAATAAAATGTTCTCCAGAAATGGTTTGTTGTAGACAGGGCTCACTCTGGGTTGTGAGGGAAGGATAGAGTACCAGGATTAATTTGGACAATATAGGGGTCTTAAATTAATTTTAATTGCCAGGCATGGGAACTCAAGCCTGTAATCCCAGTACTTTGGGAGGCCGAGGTGAGGGGATTGCCTGAGCCCACGGGTTCGAGAATAGCCTGGGCAGCGAGACCTCATCTTACAATAAAAAAAAAAATTAACCAGGCGTGGTAGCGTGCCTGTAGTTCTGGCTACTTGGAAGGTTGAGGCAGAAGGATCGCCGGAGCCCGACAGGTTGACACTGGGGTGACTGTAAGTGTGCCACGCACTCCAGCCTGGGTGATGGAGTGAGACTCCAACTCAAAAAACAATAATCATTTTAACCCTTTGCACTTGGATGTCCCTTCTAAGGGGACATCGTAAATCTAGCAAGTCAATCAAAAACACTAAAAGTCAGAATTTCCTATTTTAAGGGTAATACTTTATAAACTATTTTTCATAAAAACACAAATAGAAGTGATTTGTTCTTATCAAAACATATTTGCTTTCTATAAAACAAGCACCAATCTATGCAAATTTTACAATGGAAATGGCAGATATTTTAAAAATTATGCTAATAAATCTTTTATCAAAAAAAACTAACAAACCACTCAGATGTCCCTTTTCAGGAGACATAAGGAGATTGCTGGTGACTATATAGGACACACTTAAGCCAGCACAAGGTTTTGAAAAAAATGTATATTTCCTTGGAGCTTTCTATTCAGATTACATGAAAAAACAAATAAAGCGATGGAATATATACTGAGATATGTTCCGTCAGTTGAGAAGGGGTTTTCAGGAATCGTGTATGTCCTTCCACATCTTTTTCAAACAACAGACTGGACAAGAAATTACATGTTATTAACGTGGGAGGAAGAAAACAAGACTGCACTGTCTGTTTGAATAGAGGAACACCAGGTGGAAGATGTCACACAAATTGCTATTGCACAACTTGTATCAGTGCATCTGCAGTACCTGTCGGTGACTGTTCCACACGTGACCACACGTTAGAAAAATATAAGACATAACATTGTGATTTTTCTTTAGTAAGTGAATTCCTCATCGTCCAAAATTCCATTATGTGCTCAATAACGTTACAATAAAGTAATTGGTTCCAACTCTGTGCTGTTTAATATGCAGTGATTTGTTTCTCCCTGTTTCATAAAAAAACGTAGTCTAATTGCCTGTAGGCAATCCACGAGATGTCTCTGAGTGCAAAGGGTTAAAATGGCACAAATAAATAAGTTTGGAGACTCATCTGTAACTAGACATGGAGGACTGACAGCAGTCATAAAAGCTAGTGTTCCTTTATCTCTTTTAAAATGTGTATTTAGCCTAGGTTTTCTTCCTTATTATGTTAAGAAATAATTCTGAATGTACATAAAATCCTGTGGGAATAAATCTGTGATGTGTATATACATATCTATGTGAAAAGTATTAAGATAGTTGACGTGTAGTTTCTTTGAGTGGTGTGATTTGTAATAGCTATTTCTTTTCTTTTTGTGATGTAGTCTATGCATGGAACATTGAAAAGTATCGAAGGACCTCCAAACTTGGGTATCAATTTGCCTTTGAGCATTAAGCCTGCGACTCAGAATTCAGCAAATCAGAACAAAGAGGACCCCAAGTCTATGAATGGGAAGGAGAAGTTGGAAAAGAAGTCTCCATCTCCTGTGAAGAAATCCATGGAACCCAAGAAGGTGGCCAGTCCTGGGTGGACGTGCTGGGAATGTGACCGCCTGTTCACGCAGAGAGATGTGTACATATCCCACGTGAGGAAGGAACACGGGAAGGTCAGTAAAGAATGAGAGCTCCTCCCTGTGAGTATGAGACCCCCATACCTCCAAGACTTGGGTTCTTGGCTTGGCTCTGTCGCTAATTAGTAGCATGACCCCGAAAATCTCTCGATGTCTCTGTGCCTCAGTTTGTTTATCTGTAAAATGGACATTTCCAAATCCTTCCAATCTTGTTCTAGGCTTTTGCTAATAATGGCCTTCATTTGCACACCTTAAAGAGACTGGAAGTAAGTTATCCACCACATTTGCGCTTACAGATGAGGAAACGGAGGGTGGTAGTAAACCAGAGTTAATGCCGTCTGAATTTACCTCCTAGCCGTATGACAAATCGAGAAGAAAGGAGGAGAGAAAGAAAGTGAATGTGTTGAAAACTGCTAGTAGCATTTGTATGACTTACACAATTTTTCCTTGAGTTTGGTAGTGGGAAGAATAACTTAAGCCTTCCAAGAGAAGCTCTTTGGTTCAAAGTTACTAAAAATTCTGAATCTTTCTCTTTCTATTCTTTTCCTTTTTAAAATAGCAAGTATCAGTTCCAATTGGTAAGGAATTTTTTAAATACCCATTATTAGACCTAAATGAGCAAAATTACTTTTCAGTAATATGCTGTATTAGGTACAAGATTAGACTGTGTTCTTATTTCCTGATTTTCTCAAAGTTGGTTTGTTGTAGTCAGCATCCAGAGTCTGCATATTGCACTTGGTTGTTGTCTAACTTAAACCTCTGTATTCTCTAGCAGTCTTCTCTCTGTTCTTTTTCAATTATTTTTGTTAGAGACACAGTCTTATTCTGCTGCTCAGGCTGGCGTGCAGTAATGCAGTCACAGCTCTCTGTAACCTTGAACTCCTGGGCTCAAGTGATCCTCTCACCTCAGCCTCCTGAGTAACTAGTGCTATGGTTGCGTGCTTCCACGCCTGGCACTGTTTTATTTATTTTTTGAGTTGGAATCTCACTCTGTCACCCAGGCTGGCGTGGAGCGGCACACTCACGGCCACCCCAGTGTCAACCTGCTGGGCTCCGGAGATCCTTCTACCCCAGCCTTCCAAGCAGCCGGAACTACAGGCGTGTGCTACCACACCCGGCTAATTTTTGATTTATTGTAGAGACAAGGTCTTGCTAGGTTGCCCGGGCTGGTCTTGAATCTGCGGGCTCAGGCAATCCACTCGCCTCGGCCTCCCAAAGTGTGCTGGGATGACAGACTGAGCCACCGAGCCTGTCCTTTTTTAATGTACTGTTAATTTGTTGGAAAAAGTTGACTTGTTTATCCTATAGAGCGTCCCTCACATTACTGGATTTGGGTAATTATTTCTTTCTGACATTGTTGAACATGTTCTTCATGATTCCTAGAATTTTGATTAGATTAAGGTTTAATATTTTAGATAAGAATATGTCATATGTGCCGTGTTGTATTTTGAGTAACATAATACTAGCCTGTCTCCTTTTAGAGATACCAAGATTGATTAGTGATTCAAATACACGATGTTTTTAAAGAAAGCCATCTCGTTGCTTTCACTTATGCCAATAGAATAAAATATTCTCCTTAGTGAAAGAGTACCTATATAAAAAATACATAGAAATTGATTTGTAATTAGTAACTACTACATCCTTGAAATTGTTTTATATTGTGTTCAGCGTTACTCTGTGATCTCATGTATTGAAACTGTTTATTTGAGGTACTCATGAAGTTGGCATGTTTTACCTTGTTGGCACCCAAAGGCATCAATGCCTTTGAGCATCGATCACAATGATCACAAATTGCAAAATAGATGTTTTTATTGTATTTGGCTAACTAGTGTGTCATTTAGAAAGTAGTTGCTTATAGAATATATTTGGCTTCAGTGGTACATTGCTTATTTAATCATCCCAAATTGAGGCTTCCCTAATAGCATCTTTCGGTATTCATTGTGAATTTTGGGTAGTTTTAAGGAGTAATACTATGTCAGCCTACTGGGTCAATGGGCTGCCAGTGGTGCTGCTAAATCCTGATATGGTGGGTCGAGGAAGAGTCGTCTTCACTCAGCACCCAGACCAGATGGCAGGAGTGTCCAACAGGAGCTAGCCGTTGTCGTCATCCGGTCGTCTGGTCCTTTCGTCTCTTGTACGTGGGGGATTTCTGTAACTGTCTTGTGACATTTCAGAATCTTTCTTTCTCTTTTCAAAAAAAAAGTGCTTGACCTTGCACCATCTGATAGTTGTCAGATCTTGAATATAAGGTGAGGAGATGGCTCCCAAAAGGAATGGGTGGGGTGAAGTTCAGCGCATGCTGAAACTGTCTGCTCTAGGACGACGGCACGGAGCCCGCTCTGAACTAGACGTGTGTATGTGTGTGAGCATGCGTGTGTGTGCATGCGTGCCTGTGCACAGTGTGTGTACACAGGTTAGAGAGAGCTGTTAGCCAGAGGAAATTTTGGCTGAGTAGGGTTTCTGGATTCACTTTGAAGGAGTTGAGGCCTTCTGGAAGGGGGCGCATAGGATGAGATTACAGTTTCTTTATAAGCTAGAGAAGTGAAAAGCGTGTCGAACGCGTCGGTAACCCGTGCTTGCGGGCTACCTTGCTGAGTTGGATGGGAACACCCACTTCCAGACAGCCCTCCTGCAAGCATCTTTTGTCTGTGCCCATTCTTTTCTTCTTCCTCCTGCCAGAATAGTCAAGTCACCCAAACTTCAAGTCTCCTGCACTGTCTTTGTCCCTTTTTGCTCAGGCCACACCCGGGGAATGCCTTGTTGGCTGTCCTGTTCTTCCCCATTTCCCCGTCGGCTGCCCCCTTGGGGCTTTGGCACCACCTGGTCGCTGAACCCAGGGCTCTTGTGACCTCCTCGTTGCTGAGCCTGTGGGGCATGTTTCCTTCCTTACCCCAGTCACCCCACTGCAGTGTTTCATGTGACTGGCAACACTCTGTAAAAGCTTTTTCTTCTCTGTTGTGGCGCACCACTCTTTCCTGGAGGTTCTTGTGGTTGCTGAAATACCCATCGGGTTTCTGTCCTTCAGGCATGTCACTCTCAGGTAAATTCAGCCACTCTCATGGCTTCACATCTCGTGTACAGTATGCATGCAGATAACACCCAAATGTGTGTCCCCGCCGTGGCCTCTTGCCTCAATTCCTGTCTCTGAAATCCAGCTCCTTAGCGTTTCAGCTTTTTGGATAACTCGCAGAGAAGCTTCAATCTAAGCTTGTCCTGCAACACGCCCGAACTGTTGCCCCACTGCAGCTTTTGCAAGAGCTCAGTGTCGAACTCGGTGACTCCTTCCTTCTTCATTCCACCTGGCACCCTCGGGGCCCAGCCACCCTTTGAATACTCCCTAGTCCAGTTATCTGTTTTCTCAGCGCTACCCTTGTTTAGGGAGCTGTCTGCTCTTGTCTGGATTATTGCTCTCACCGTAGCCAGAGAGTTCCAAAGTACGGCTCCGACTGTGTGGCTCTCCTGCAGGAAGGGTTGTGTTCTCATTGTCTTCAGATAGTCCCGCCTTCCTCACCTGCCTTTCCTGGACTGCTCTGTCTGCCCCTACATTAAGTGCTTTAAACACAGTTTCTTCATTCACCTCTGAAGCTTTTTAGGTGATGTTTCATTGGTTTGAAAGCCCACATCTTTCTGGTGTAAATGTCTCCTAGTCCCTTAGGTCTTAGCTTGGATTTAGCTATTTGGAAAGCGTTTCTTGGTCCTCAAAAGACCAGTCGGTTGGGCCCTCTTTCTGTGGGTTTCCATGGCAACATTTACTCCCCTTACCAGAACCCTACTGTATGAAAGGTGCCTCTCACCTCTTTCGTTGTTGTTTTTTTTTTAAATTGGAGTCTCACCCCGTTGCCCAGGCTGGAGTGCCATGGCACACTCACGGGCACCCCAGCGTCAACCTACTGGGCTCCGGCAATCCTTCCGCCTCAGTCTTCCAAGTAACCAGAACTACAGGCGCGTATTACCACACCCAGCTAATTTTTCATTTATTGTAGGTGAGATCTCACCAAGTTGCCCAGACAGGTCTTGAACCCACGGGCTCAGGCAGTCCACCCACCTCAGCCTCCCAAAGTGCTGGGATTACAGGCTGAGTCACCGAGCCTGGCTTCATTTTTTTTAAGGTGGTGTCTCACTGTTACCCAGCTGGAGTGCAGTGGCACGCTCACGGCCACCGCAGCCTCAACCTGCTGGGCTCACGCGATTCTTCTGCCTCAGCCTTCCAAGTAGCTGCAACCACAAGTGTGCGCCACCACACCTGGCTAATATTTGACTTACTGTAGAGACAAGGTCTTGCCATGTTGCCCAGGCTGGTCTCCAACACCTGGGATCAGGCAGTCCTCTCATCTCTGCCTCCCAAAGTGCTGGGATTACAGGCTTGAGCCATCACACCTGGCCTCACCTCTTTCTCCCATGAGACTTGATGCTTTCTTCCTCCTTTCAGTTGCCATCAGTAAAGTCTTTGGGGGCTTGTAACTACCTTATGGTAAGTTGGAAAGTATTTCTTAAATTGGTGGATCAAGGAGGAGTTCTAATTTGGGCAACATCTAACCCTTCTTAGACCCAACTCTCTCCTCTTTACAATGGGTGCCTACTTTGGTGACCTCCTCGTGTCCTGTGCTGTAGGTACCTACAAAGAACTGAATGTGAAGTGTGATAAACATTCTCTAATCCTTTTGTGTTGAAGAGGAAACATAAATTTGAAGTGAAATATGCTCTATACATACAAAGGATTGAAAATTGTATTTGACTAAACGTCTCACGAGAACATACATGTTTACTTCCAGCAGGCTGGAAGGTATTGGGAGCCAAATTTCCTGGATTACCTAATAAAATATGATTATGTATTATGATAAGTACATCAGTGTTCTGAATCAGTGAGCCGTGATGGTATACATTTAAAAAATAAATACAAACCGGGCTCTGTGGCTCAGCCTGTAATCCCGCGCCTTTGGGAGGCTGAGATGAGTGGATTGCCTGAGCCCGCGGGTTCGAGACCCGCCTGGACAACTTGGCGAGACCTCATCTCTACAATAAATCAAACAATGAGC